TCCCCATATTTTTTGAATTTTCTTTTCTTTCTTCTTTTTCTTCTCATAAATATGTTGATTTTCTAGACATAAACATGAAGTTTATAACTTTCTTATGAAAATTATGGATAGTTAAGGAAAGATGGTTATGGAACCTAGGGAACTACCTAGGATATGTATTTTTCACTTAAAAAAATCCATCGCCTAGGCTACTAGGCGACAAGGTGCCCCCCTGTCGCCTAGCCTCGCCTTGGCGCCTTAAAAACTATGCTTGAGAGCACCATCTATGGTACCTCCCACCCATTCTTGCAGGGATAATTTGATGGCAGAGAAAGCTACATGCTTTACCTGTGGACTATAGTTGCAATTCACATCCCAACTATGGCATTCAGAAGGTAGACATCTTGCATGCCACATCTTACTAGTAAATAGGCAGTTTAATGAACGAAATGCTAAAAACATGTTCAGTCTAAAAGAATTGCATACGCATTTGAATTTGTGAAAGCAGGAAGTAGCTTAGCTTTATAAAATAGTGTCATTATGTGAGGCTGTCTATGGCTACGCAAGTAATGTTTTTTCTTTTTTTTTGATAAACAGCTACGTGAGTAATGTTGTCCCTGGACTTTGTTATAGTTCACACATACACATACAGAATAGTAAACGTGAAAGATATTGATTAATGCTTTACAAAGCATGCATATGCACATTACTTTCTCTACTATAATGTAAAAAATATAACTAGCACACTGATATCTTTCATGCCAACTAGTTTACAAATCTGTCCAAACTGCCTATTTACTAGTGTGTTTTAAGCCCTGATCTAAGAAACAGGCACAACCACATGTCGCATCCATCAGTTGATTGACCAATTTAACTGGTGTTTATTACCAATACGTGCATAATATGGCAGGAGAGAATAAAAAGTTTGTAGCAAATACCAATGTTCAGAAAGAATAACACACAACACACAGATGGCGTAATTCCAGTTGAAGTCATAGACACCAATAGCTAATACCTTGAAGATTAGAGCTGATCTCTCTGAAAACCCGTGGCATGGGACAGTCTTCTAGCAAAGGCATATCTAAAGTGGAGATTGGGCTGAGATGATCCACTGGCTGACACAACTCTTCATGACCACTGCTGCACACTGATGCAGGGCTAGGTGGCACCTCAGTTGAGTTGTCCTGAGAACCATGCAACAGAAAATCTTTTAATTAAGAGAACGAAAAGAAAGAAAACTATTGATTGATTGAGAGAGAGAGAGAGAGAGAGATGAACTAAACTATAAGATAGCTCTTACATGTGCATTGCCAGGATTCATCACAACTGTAGGTCCACTCATGATATCTTTCACAGGACCAGATCCATTGCTTCCTGATTCCTTAACTACTTGAATCTTCCTTCTGAATAATTTACCTCTAAGAGTAAAACTGTATCGGAGATTTGAGACTTTCCCCCTAAAACTGAACCTCTCTTTCCTCTTTTTTCTCAATTCCACTGAAACATTTTCAGTGGATTCATGCTTCCTCCTGATCTGGGCTCCAGTTAAAATGTGTCGGTCCTCTAAAAGAAGTTTCCCAAATGAATTTCCTGATACCGGAGCTGACAATGATCTGATTAGGTTTCTTGGAGATAACTCCCCTGTATAAAGCATTTCATCACTTTTATGCCCATGTCTGAAAGATCTTGTTTGAATTTCTGGCTCATCTGCCAAATCTTCCCAGCGATTCTCAATGTTCTTAGTCATCAAAGCATCTTCAATTGGCCTTATTCTACTCTCATTATTGCATAAAGCAGAAGCTCTCGAGCTGCCACTGATACTTGTGGGGGCATCAACACGTTTTTCTCTTTTTACAACGTTCCTCAGCCTCTCAGAGAAGCATTTCCCCATGTCTCTGTTAATGAACTCGAGAGGGCCTTGTCCATTTATCTGAGTTTCACTTCTGTAAGATCTAGCTGATTCTGATCGTAGTAAATTCATTCCAAGGTCCTTGGTAACACTTTCCCTGACCTGCTTTGCTATATTCTGAGCAATTTCTTTTGGATCTGATTGTTTTCCACTGAAAGGGGCCCCAATTCCAACCCTTCTAACTGATATATCTCCTTTAGCACTCTTGCCTTGAATTTCACATCTCAGCCTTTCCTTTACTTCCTCAAGCAAAGCTTCAATACCACCTTCCTCTTCAGCAGTCTCTGACGAACCAGCCCAAGAATCTTCACTATCACAATTCCCATCAGGGCCAGGCTTTAAGATCACTATCCTTGTGGGCATAGAAGACTTGCCTGGTTTCTGATTACAATTTGTTAGGGAGATCTGCTCAGCATCACTAGAATTTGTTCTGTTTCTTAAGACGACAGAGTCAATTTGGTTAGCTGAGGAAGATTCCTTTTTAAATCCTTGATGCTGTAATGCACCTCTTTCTTGTGATCTTCCCTTAAGTGTTGCCACTGAAGTATGACTGTTTGATTCTCTAGGATTCTTCTTTTCTCTCAAACTCCTAGATTCTGCATGGAGTGCGATTGTTTCCTTGTTGAAGTTCTCTTGAGCAAGCCATTGACCAGGAATTCTACCAAGCTCAACAACTTTTCTATGTTCCCAAATCCTCGCTGCTTGCCATGCTTCAAATTCTTTTTTGAATTTCTGCAATTCCTCCTCTTGAGGATGTTCTCGAGGTCGTCGTTTTCCATATTTCATGTCACTACTGGATAGGTCAGTATCTTCTTGTCTAGAAAAGGTTAGAAAATCCATCTCTGTTTTCCTCAAGGGTTTTGATCCAAAAGCACTACGTCCAGCTGAGCCATTTTCGTACTGTTCACCATTTCTAAAATTGTTTCCCATGTATTCATTCTTTTTCTCCTTTGCATGAATTGCTGGTTGTGTTTCTGATGGTAGCATATCCATCCCCATCAAACGGGCCACAACACTAGGCACATTCCGCCTAGTGGCTGGTCCCCTGTAAACCTCCTCATCAATCAAATTCTTCACAGAAGCCTCACTTGGATAACAATTCTTTCTGGAGGAGGTATGCTTCACTTGATATGAATACTGATAGTAATCACACAAAGTATTAGTTGATATGAGTGAAAAGTTGATGCATGATAGAGTTATTTTTATCATGAAATACATGGAATTAATACTCGTTTTAGAATAGCATGAACATAGTCAACCACCAAGAGAGCCAAGAGACAGAGCCACAACTTTTCCCCTGGATGGGGATTTAAATGCCCATGGTGAAATAAGTGAAAATCTATTTTTACCAATGAAGACCACTGTCAAGTGCTATCATTCCAAAGGCATGTTCATTGTTGTTGCAAAAGCCAAACTTCTATTTCAAATTTACAAAATTTTGCAAGTCAAATTAATTGAAACACTTGATATTTAAAAAGAAATTATTTTTCTAATATATATTTAAGTATCTATATTACTTCAAGACAAAATTTCGTTGAAAAAATTTACAAACTATTTAAATAAAAATCAAGTAGACCCTATTAATACTACATACTAATAATAATGTAGATCAATGATATAGATTTTTTTTGGAAAAGGTAATGTAATTTTATTCAAACCAAAATTCAATTACAAACTGAAATCAGACCCAGGAAGGCAGTCTGAAAACAGCCAGAGTTACAAACTCCACCAGGAGTGAGACTGAAATAAATAAGACAAGTTTAGATGTGGTGCAATGGTGAAATCTCAGGCTGACAAGCATGAGAATGCAAGTTCAAGTCTGAGAATGGCAACTTGACGGGGAAAAAAACAAAGGTTAGGTCCATATCCAGTCAACCCCTCCCCAAGGCCCTAGATAGCTGGGACCAACATTGGGTAATGGCCTTTAATGATACAGCCTAATGATAATTGTGTGATTGTGCCTAAAAAACTCAGCCATGAGAATGAGCGAAAATAGATATTGTAGAGCAAAAATATCGAAAAAGAAATCAAGTTATATCCAAGACCTTTTCCACTCTAATGAGAGCAGTGCTGCAACAGGTCCCCTCATGATACGAGCTATGGGGGAGGGGAAGGGGAAGCCCAGAAATAAAAAAAGTATACACACACATGACGGAGTGCCCTAGAAATTATAGGAGATATAAAGGGAATTGTCAAAAGTTTTGGGGGAAATGTCACCCCTTGGCTTCTCTCAATGGCACATATCCAGGAATTTGGGTACCAACAATATATACAACCATCTATAAGTGTCAAGTGAAAATTAACCAACCATCAGGTTATGTTTTTTCTTGTTCAAATTTAAACTTCTTCCATCCATCTATTTGCAATAAGTTGGATAGTTATCAATTCTGGATCCTACACACCTTCCTATGTGTTTTAATGTATGGCTCATCCAATAGTGTGGTAGTCTAGCAGATAGAGAACTTAAAAACCACCATCTCTTTAAGCAAATAAAGATTAAGAATATTGGTAATAAGAAAATTGAATAAATAAACGTCTTCAATTAGCAAATCATCAATAACCTCATCTGTTATATATAGCATAAGTCTCATTAAATCAGAATCAAAATACAGATTTAATATATCAAGAACCTATAGTAAAGCATACAATAAAAAATTACCGGAATGTTTCCGGATGTAGAACAGAAGTTCTGTGAAGTTTCTATTGGCAGCTCCAAGCTGTTCCGAGGGGCTTCAAGACCTGCAGACAAGCCAGAGCAGCATTAGATTTCCAAAATTTCTCAATGAAATCAAAGAAATCTATAAGGATATAGATTAGATGGATCCCCCAGAAATCTGAATGCTACAGCTGATAGACTAACTAAATCCAGAACATAGAGGGCCTTTGTATAGTGAAAGCTGTATGCCCAAGTAGTTTCTGTATTGGTAGAACTGCTATATATCGGCCTTGTGAATTTTGTACATCATACACACTCCTTGCTATTTTTCATCAGGCAATATAGTTTATCTCTTTCTCAACAAAAAAAAAAAAGAAAAGAAAAGAACAGAAAAGTGCTCTTCTTGTCAATACAACTCTGCCGGTGACTTTTTCTTAACTTTTGTTCACAAGGGGGAGGTTGGAATGTTGTTTATCATATATCATCCTACAAGTCCTTCCATGTTGTTTGTTCTACTTATTGCTCCGAGCTACCAAGAGATACATAATTGGAGCCTTTTTTTTCACTTGTCTGATTAACCCAAGTAAGAAGGAATCTGAAGCAGGAAGTCTAAAGTTCTTAACCTTAAGTATTAATCATGAAAATCTAGTTGCCCATAATTTTAGGAACATACTTCATATAGAAGTCCATACTTAGAAAAGATCCAACATAACTTGAGATGAAGATGCATTAATGTCATGATCTAAAACTTTCTACGTTATCCCACCTTGTCTGCCACAAATTCAAACCCTCCCCCCAATGGGAAGAAAACAGAAAAAAAAAAATGGACAAATAACCACGTTAAAGAAAGTAATAAAGGAAAAACAAGGAGCGGAAGCATACTTATTAGAAGTAAACAATATAAGCAAATAAAAGATGAACCTTACCATCAACATGTCTACTGTGCCCTAGTGACTTCCGGGACATGCTGGCTTGGTTAAACTCAAAGAGATGCAATATGCCTCCCATGTAGCCTGCTGATTCCTAAAAACCTGAGTAGACCTAGCAGTGCATCTATGTTTTATCCCATGGTAACCTGAGTGGATTGTCCTTTATCCAATACAAATGTTGCAGAACACCTGCCTCATAATCTAGAAAGCAACACCATAAGGTTCTAATCAGTAAACTAAAGTTCATTACACTTGGTCCAAACAAGCTTCCAATGCATAAAAATCTTCAGATAAAATCGTAAAGGTCCAAATCAAAAGATCAATTCTATCAAGGATTAACTTCTGCTCAGATTATCAAATAATCGGCCATTGCCTATTGGAGAAGAATAATTTCTTACAGACACGAAGCAATATTATATACACTTGAAATTCTAGTTACCTATCTAGTAGACCCAGGTAGCATAAATGGCCTGCACATACGCATGGTTTCAACTTTCAAGCGGGGGAGCAGACCAACCACTAAGTTCTTCTAAAACAAATGGATGATTATTAACTATCAACTGTATTTTTTATGCTTATGATATAAGGTTATGATTATAACCCCAGTTCTGGTTTTTGCTTTTTAGCTTCCTTCTTTTACTCTTTCAAAGAAAAGTTTCCTTCTTTTACTGTCTAATCAGAGCTGCTTTTCAGGTTTGGACCACAAGACTAGAAGTGGAAATCCTGCAAAAATGGGGGAGAAGGAAATGAAATGAAAAGTGACTCCAATACATCCACGAATAAGCCTACCTACTCTACTTCGTCATTCTGACCTCCCCACCTGGGGAGAGAGATATATAACCAAAACATTTGTGGACTCTATTAAATTTGCTGCAGCAAGTGAAAATTCCCAAATTTCTGCCACATGTATCCTGTATTGCTGAGAGACCTCTTATGATCTAACCAATGGATAATTAGATTTCCTCAACTACAAAATGTACAGAACATATATTTGTCTAGATCACATCAAGTCAAAATCAATTTAGTGGCCCTCAAGTCTTTTTGATAGAAAGTACTGAACAAAGTGCAGATATGGAGGTGGAAGTAAAATAAGGATTTCTTAGCAACATTAAGATGAAAGATGGGGAGTCACGAGAAACTTTGGTTAAACTACAAATATAGAATCAAGACAAAACTCAGACAAGGCCATGCAGCATTCTATAAGACGGACATTCAACATAACTTACAAATCAGTGCAGTCTAGACAAAATTAAAACAGTTCTACAATTAAACAGAACCAATCAAACTCATAATAACCAAACATGAAGAAATTGTAGTTGCAGAATCTTGACTTATCTCTTTGGGAGGTGTATTATGATGATATGACGATGAATATACGATTTTTAGTAAAGAAAGCATCTTGGAATTAATGCCTTCAAGAGTGAATTTTCAAAATATCAGTGGCCCCAATTCAAATGACAAAGTTCTTTTTACTTTTTTCTATTGCTCGCACTTCATCCAGGAAAGAGCAAAATGCAAGAGTTAGATTAACAGAAGTAAGCAAACAAAAGTAAAATTTTAAGGGCCTGATTCACTAACATAATTCCCATCGACCGAAAGAGCACAAGTATCGAATTCTTGCAGCACTCTGAAACTGAAAGTTTTTAACACAAACATTTTAAGAAGGAAAGAGAAGCCGATTTAAATGATTAAAAATAACAGGTTAGAACAAATTCGACTTTTTTTTGGCAGATTTACGAGAAAACTTCGTCCTCAACCTGAAGCTTGACCCGGGGCTGTAACACATAAGTATGCAATCTCATTTATCTTGCCAAATTCTTTCGTCCTGCGACATCCAAGGAAACAAAAAATAAAAAGGAAGCCATATATCCATAAAAAGATGCAAAATTAACGAACTTTTCAAAATAGAACTGGCTGATTTTCAAGATTCGTTTTACTTGACTCTCCCCACGATTTTGATCCAAGAGAGCATGGAGATCTAAGTTAAGGCTCTTCAAACAAGTATAGCATCTAACAACCATTAATTGCTTTTGATCCAAATAGAAAAAGGACATTTTCGGTTTCCACTAACCATAATTAATATGAATCTCATTATTCAGTTCTTCTTGTCTTTGTAACGCAGAATAGACGATCCCATTCTCCAACTCAACAAGACAGTAGCTCGTGTAATTCAACACCATGAAACCAAATCCATCATTACCAAATTATCAGAACCTACCGTGCAGAGACGCCCGGGAACGGGCAAAATCCATCGACGGGAACTTTTATCCTCCACAGAGATGAAGGGAAACCGAAAATACAGTGGTCAACAGAAGTCAATAACGTAGAGATCGAGAAAAGATCTTCGTCGGCAACAGCAGAGTAGCAGAAAAGTTGAGATGTAAAGCTAGGGCTCGTAATAGTTTCACGTTGGCACCCTAGTAATGTAGGAAAAGCTACGCTTTTAGTCTGACCGTCCATGGCCGAAAAAACATTAAAAGAAAAAAACAACCCAGAAAGCGAAGCTTCTCTAGTTTCATGTATTTAAAATTATTTTCTTTTTATTCTTTATCCAATTGCTTTCTCTTTCTCAATTTTAATCTTTGTTTACTGTAAACCCTTAACAAAAGACCGAGCGAACTCGAGTTCGCAACTCTGTCTCTGAAAGTGAAGAATACTGAAAAGGCAATAACAGCGCAGACACTAGGGATCAAGCGGGCTCCCCTGACTACATCTACGTGGCTGCTTACTCTACCACGTCAACAGGTGACGGAATCTGCTTCTCACAGGCACATCCACAGGAACCGGAACCGGTCGATTTGGTTTTGAAAAATCAAAGGTATCAATTTGGCTTCAATTAACCAAAGCGACCTATGCATATAAAATATATTATTTATTATTGATAATATAATATATTTCTAATACTTTTATTATACATTTATTATTTATTTTATATATTATAAATATTAAAAAATCGACAGACCAAAGTAATAGAAAATCAAACTGATCAATTGATTAATCAATTGGATTTGGTTCGGTTTTGATTCACAGTTTTTTAAAAATTGGTAGTATTGGTTTAGCTTGAAAAATAAATCCATGATTCACTTAACCGAACCATAATCACTTTTATAGCTCAATTTGGAAGGAGTATAAATGTAAATTTGTAGAGTGCAAAACCTTATATTTTATATGTATTTGCATTATACATATTTGCATTTGTATTCTTTCCAAACTAAGCCTATCGAACAAAAGTTGACTAAATAATTTTAGGGCCAGCATTCTTATGCATTTTCACTTGTTTGGGTAAAGAAAAACAAAAGTTGCCTAAATCTTATCATTGATTTCACAGCCTGCTAAATGGTTAAAACCATGGTATTTAAAAACGAATCGGTGATCGAACCAGTCAAGGGTCTGGTTACCGGTTTGAACGGTTCGACCATTTGACTTGAACGGCCCGACAGTTCGACTTGAACGGCCAGCATGTTTTGACAAGAAAAATAAAAAAAAAATAAAAATTTGAAAAACAGTCAAAACCATTCAAACGGTTAACTGACCGGTTCAATGGTTTGCTGACCAGAATCAACGGTTTTAGGGGAAAAAGCGGGTTTGAAAGAAAATGGTGATCGGTTCCTGGTTTTTCCGGTCCGACCGTCTGGTCCAATCCAATTTTGAAAACAGTGGTTAAAACTTAAACCTTATTCGATAAAGAGAGGGTATGCTTCACGAGTATATCAATTACCTCACTCTTTAGAAAATTCGCTTATTGATGAGGGCATATTTGGCCCTCCAGTGAAATTGTGACACGTGGCACCTCGTGACAACTAGGCAAACACCCAGGCAACAACTTACCAAATTGGTGTCCCACCCGAGCACCAGTCTGGCTGGCCTGGCGCGACCTACGAGCGACCTGCACGCGGCCTGGCACGGCCTGCGCGTGACCTGGCGCGGCCTGCGCGCGACCTGGCATG